ATACAAGTGTACACACACATGCAACACACATACTAGTGCAACACACATACAATACAAGTGTACACACACAACATGCAACACACATACAAGTGTACACACACAACATGCAACACACATACAAGTGTACACACACAACATGCAACACACATACAAGTGTACACACACAACATGCAACACACATACAAGTGTACACACACAACATGCAACACACATACAAGTGTACACACACAACATGCAACACACATACAAGTGTACACACACAACATGCAACACACATACAAGTGTACACACACAACATGCAACACACATACAAGTGTACACACACAACATGCAACACACATACAAGTGTACACACACAACATGCAACACACATACAAGTGTACACACACAACATGCAACACACATACAAGTGTACACACACAACATGCAACACACATACAAGTGTACACACACAACATGCAACACACATACAAGTGTACACACACAACATGCAACACACATACAAGTGTACACACACAACATGCAACACACATACAAGTGTACACACACAACATGCAACACACATACAAGTGTACACACACAACATGCAACACACATACAAGTGTACACACACAAATGCAACACACATACAAGTGTACACACACAACATACAAGTGTACACACACAACATGCAACACACATACAAGTGTACACACACAACATGCAACACACATACAAGTGTACACACACAACATGCAACACACATACAAGTGTACACACACAACATGCAACACACATACAAGTGTACACACACAACATGCAACACACATACAGTGTACACACACAACATGTGTACACACACAACATGCAACACACATACAAGTGTACACACACAACATGCAACACACATACAAGTGTACACACACAACATGCAACACACATACACAGTGTACACACACAACATGCAACACACATACAAGTGTACACACACAACATGCAACACACATACAAGTGTACACACACAACATGCACACACAACATGCACACACATACAAGTGTACACACACAACATGCAACACACATACAAGTGTACACACACAACATGCAACACACATACAAGTGTACACACACAACATGCAACACACATACAAGTGTACACACACAACATGCACACATACAAGTGTACACACACAACATGCACACACATACAAGTGTACACACACAACATGCAACACACATACAAGTGTACACACACAACATGCAACACACATACAAGTGTACACACACAACATGCAACACACATACAAGTGTACACACACAACATGCAACACACATACAAGTGTACACACACAACATGCAACACACATACAAGTGTACACACACAACATGCAACACACATACAAGTGTACACACACAACATGCAACACACATACAAGTGTACACACACAACATGCAACACACATACAAGTGTACACACACAACATGCAACACACATACAAGTGTACACACACAACATGCAACACACATACTAGTGTACACACACAACATGCAACACACATACAAGTGTACACACACAACATGCAACACACATACAAGTGTACACACACAACATGCAACACACATACAAGTGTATACACACAACATGCAACACACATACTAGTGTACACACACAACATGCAACACACATACAAGTGTACACACACAACATGCAACACACATACAAGCGTACACACACAACATGCAACACACATACAAGTGTACACACATTACATGGAACACCAAAATAGTACAGATAAGGTAACGCAACATTACAAATCAGCGCCACAGCACAAGGGAATATTCCCCAATAATACAACAGTAGCCACAAGGGACCCCAACGGTGGCAGGTGGGTACCTACACCAGGAACTGGGCGCCACAGCCGGTATACAGAGAAATTAAATTGAAATTGAAATAAGTTTATTGAGGTAAAATACACACAAAGGGATGAGGTAGCTCAAGCTATTCTCACCCCGTTCAGTACATCGTGTTAATTAATACATATATATACACACATCATAAACAATAAACATATTACCGAACATTCTGAGGTTTAACATATACATTTCCTTATAAAGAGAATACTGAAGTAGTAGTTGTCATCCTGTAGTCTCAGGAGACTATCGAGTCGCGCTCTGGTTGTAAAGTCAATTTTATTCAGGACAGTACATACATAGTTGATTTACAAACATAATGTTGGACTTATAGATAGAGGTAGTACATACAATACCTAAAGCCACTAACTAGTAAGCATAGCGTTTCGAGCAAGTTGGTTGTCGAGGCTGTAGAATACAGAACACTGTACCTCAACACTGCGCACCACTGATGCCGTATAAGGGAGCAACCCCAAACACAAGCCTGGGGGGGCCTGACAGCTGAGTGGACAGCACTTCGTATTCGTAGTCCTGAGGTTCCGGGTTCGATCCCCGGTGGAGGCAGAAATAAATGGGCAGAGTTTCTTTCACTTCTGATGCCCCTGTTACCTAGCAGTAAATAGGTACCAGGGAGTTAGACAGCTGTTACGAGCTGCTTCCGGTGTGTGTGAAAAAAAATCAGTTGATTGACAGTTAGAGGCGAGCCGAAAGAGCGAGAGCTCAACCCCCCGCATGCAGGTGAATACAGCTAGGTCAATACAAGCTACCTACATAATCTTGAAGACCATGGCGTGTCCCCCACACACCGAGGCCGGTAGGCGCGGCCACGGACCCTCTCCTGCAGCCTTTCCAAGCGGCAATTTCAACGCGCCATCACCCGCGCCATGCTGCCGCCCCGCCCCGCCCCGCCCCACCCCGCCCCGCCCCGCCCCGCCCCGCCCCACCACGCCCCGCCCGGCCCCACCCAACCCCACCCCGCCCGGCCCCACCCACGCCCCTCATGTTTTTTCCAGTGTATTATATTTGTTAATGTTTTAGACTGTTATATATTTGTTCAACCCTGTGGTGAGTCAGAGCTCCGTTAATAAAACAACATTTTTGAAGAAAACTCCTTTCTGCTTTTGACTCGTGTTCGTGTGAGTGTCTCCGTGTTATTGTGAGTGTCTCCGTGTTCTTGAGAGTGTCTCCGTGTTCTTGTGAGTGTCTCCGTGTTCTTGTGAGTGTCTCCGTGTTATTGTGAGTGTCTCCGTGTTATTGTGAGTGTCTCCGTGTTCTTGTGAGTGTCTCCGTGTTATTGTGAGTGTCTCCGTGTTCGTGTGAGTGTCTCCGTGTTATTGTGAGTGTCTCCGTGTTCTTGTGAGTGTCTCCGTGTTCTTGTGAGTGTCTCAGTGTTACTGTGAGTGTCTCCGTGTTATTGTGAGTGTCTCCGTGTTCTTGTGAGTGTCTCCGTGTTATTGTGAGTGTCTCCGTGTTCTTGTGAGTGTCTCCGTGTTACTGTGAGTGTCTCCGTGTTATTGTGAGTGTCTCCGTGTTCTTGTGAGTGTCTCCGTGTTCTTGTAAGTGTCTCCGTGTTCTTGTAAGTGTCTCCGTGTTCTTGAGAGTGTCTCTGTGTTCTTGTAAGTGTCTCCGTGTTCTTGAGAGTGTCTCCGTGTTCTTGTAAGTGTCTCCGTGTTATTGTGAGTGTCTCCGTGTTCTTGTGAGTGTCTCCGTGTTATTGTGAGTGTCTCCGTGTTATTGTGAGTGTCTCAGTGTTATTGTGAGTGTCTCCGTGTTCTTGTGAGTGTCTCCGTGTTATTGTGAGTGTCTCCGTGTTCTTGTGAGTGTCTCCGTGTTATTGTGAGTGTCTCCGTGTTACTGTGAGTGTCTCCGTGTTATTGTGAGTGTCTCCGTGTTCTTGTAAGTGTCTCCGTGTTCTTGTAAGTGTCTCCGTGTTCTTGAGAGTGTCTCTGTGTTCTTGTAAGTGTCTCCGTGTTCTTGAGAGTGTCTCCGTGTTCTTGTAAGTGTCTCCGTGTTATTGTGAGTGTCTCCGTGTTCTTGTGAGTGTCTCCGTGTTATTGTGAGTGTCTCCGTGTTATTGTGAGTGTCTCAGTGTTATTGTGAGTGTCTCCGTGTTCTTGTGAGTGTCTCCGTGTTATTGTGAGTGTCTCCGTGTTACTGTGAGTGTCTCCGTGTTATTGTGAGTGTCTCCGTGTTATTGTGAGTGTCTCCGTGTTCTTGTAAGTGTCTCCGTGTTCTTGTGTCTCCGTGTTCTTGTGAGTATCTCCGTGTTATTGTGAGTGTCTCCGTGTTCTTGTGAGTGTCTCCGTGTTCTTGTGAGTGTCTCCGTGTTATTGTGAGTGTCTCCGTGTTATTGTGAGTGTCTCCGTGTTACTGTGAGTGTCTCCGTGTTATTGTGAGTGTCTCCGTGTTATTGTGAGTGTCTCCGTGTTCTTGAGAGTGTCTCCGTGTTCTTGTAAGTGTCTCTGTGTTCTTGTAAGTGTCTCCGTGTTCTTGAGAGTGTCTCCGTGTTCTTGAGAGTGTCTCCGTGTTCTTGTAAGTGTCTCTGTGTTCTTGTAAGTGTCTCCGTGTTCTTGTGTCACCGTGTTCTTGTGTCACCGTGTTCTTGTGTCACCGTGTTCTTGTGTCACCGTGTACTTGTGTCACCGTGTACTTGTGTCACCGTGTTCTTGTGTCACCGTGTTCTTGTGTCACCGTGTTCTTGTGTCACCGTGTTCTTGTGTCACCGTGTACTTGTGTCACCGTGTACTTGTGTCACCGTGTACTTGTTTCACCGTGTTCTTGTGTCACCGTGTTCTTGTGTCACCGTGTACTTGTGTCACCGTGTTCTTGTGTCACCGTGTACTTGTGTCACCGTGTTCTTGTGTCTCTGTGTACTTGTGTCTCCGTGTTCTTGTGTCTCCGTGTTCTTGTGTCTCCGTGTACTTGTGTCTCCGTATACTTGTGTCTCCGTGTACTTGTGTATCCGTGTACTTGTGTCACCGTGTTCTTGTGTCACCGTGTACTTGTGTCACCGTGTACTTGTGTCACCGTGTTCTTGTGTCACCGTGTACTTGTGTCTCCGTGTTCTTGTGCATGTCCGTGTACTAACGAATGATTCCGTGTCGTTTCAGTGCCGCCGCAGTTCGTGGACGAGGAGAGTAGCGTGTCGCACGTGTCCGTGCAGGAGAGCCACGACGTGCGTCTGGTGTGCCGTGCCCGGGGCGTGCCCAACCCCAACATCCGCTGGACGAGGGAGGACGCCCACCCCTTCTCCGCCGCCCGTGGCAGTCAAGGTGACGCCCTTCTCCGACCCCTCACTCATCCTCATGACTCATTCTCCCGCCTCGTACACCCTCACCCGCCTTCTTGAAGTTATTTTGAGATGATTTCGGGCCTTTAGTGTCCCCGCGGCCCGGTCTTCGACCAGGCCTCCACCCCCAGGAGGCAGCCCGTGACAGCTGACTAACACCCAGGTACCTATTTTACTGCTAGGTAACAGGGGCATAGGGTGAAAGAAACTCTGCCTATTGTTTCTCGCCGGCGCCTGGGATCGATCCCAGGACCACAGGATCACAAGTCCAGCGTGCTGTCCGCTCGGCCGACCGGCCGACCGGTGACGCCTTCGTCTAACTCACGGCGTCACTCATACTCATGTGACCTGGCGTCCTCACCTGTGCCTGGTATGTCCTCATTTGGTCAGCAGTACCGTGCCTCACTTCTCATGGACTTTACTGACTTGAGTGTGTGAGGAGCGTGAGGTTATGGTGAGTCTTGGGGCCCTCACTAGCTGCTGGAGACCTTCACTACATACACCAGCAACTATGGGTCGAACGTACAAAAAATGGACTGTTTGCACTCGGCGGACCGGCGGCTGAGCAGACAGAACACTGGACGCGTGATTATGTGGTCCCGGGTTCGATCTCAGGGCCGGGGAGAAACAATGGGTAGAGTTTCTTTCACCCTGATGGTCCAGTTACCTAGCAGTAAATAGGTACCTTGGGAGTTAGTCAGCTGTCACGAGCTGCTTCCTGGGGGTGAAGGCTTGGTCGAGGACCGGGCCGCGGGGACACTAAAGCCCCGAAATCATCTCAAGATAACCCCAAGACAGTTCCCATTTCGTTCTATTGGGCCTGAGGAAGAAAGAAACAAGCAAACCCCATCTTACCTATGGGCCTAGTATAGTACACACATGTACTATTTATCACTAGAATAGCCTATTTAGGCCTAGCAGCGGATAGTTTAGGCTAATGCCGGACCAACCGGGCTGTGGTGGGTATGTGGGCCTGCGGGCCGCTCCAAGCAACAGCCTGGTGGACCAAACTCTCACAAGTCGAGCCTGGCCTCGGGCCGGGCTTGGGGAGTAGACGAACTCCCAGAACCCCATCAACCAGGTATCAACCAGGTAATGCGTTACTGTTTAAAGTGTTGGCGTAATTGGAGTATTCCAACAGCTCAAAGCGGGAGTTTTGGGAGGTTACAACCGTCCGTTTCTGGACGTTCGAGCAGTAGTTGCCAGAGGTAATGTTATTTTTGGGTTTTCTGGACAGGAGTGGTCGAGAAACTATCGCTGCGAGTGGCGGGATACGTCATCCACTTAGTGTCTACTTAACTTAATTTATTTACTTAAGAGGTTCACTTACGTGTTCACTTACGAGATCCACTTACGTGTTCACTTACGAGATCCACTTACGTGTTCACTTACGAGATCCACTTACGTGTTCACTTACGTTTCCACTTACGTGTCCACTTACGAGTTCACTTACGAGATCCACTTGCGTGTCCACTTACGTGTCCACTTACGTGTCCACTTACGTGTCCACTTACGTGTTCACTTACGAGGTCCACTTACGTGTCCACTTACGTGTTCACTTACGAGGTCCATTTACATGTCCTCTTACGAGATCTTCCCCTTTTCTATCGCTCATAGCGGCTTAGTCTGTATTTATTATACATTTTTTTTATTATATAAAGACGTTTGCCTTTCCATTGAAGACTTTCGGCGCGGTGGAGAGGGAGGACCTGCTGCATGGGTAACAGCTTCTCCTCCGTATCAACCTACCCTGGCTTTACGCCCTGGAGAGGCCACTCCAGACCGACAAACAGAGCCCAACTCCATAGTCTCCTGAGACTTATGATTGTCTACTACTATATACATTTACAAGAACAGACTTTCCTGCAAGTCTGTAATGTCAATGGATCTAAAAGAATGAAACAAAAATTAATTATAGAAATACAAAGAAAAATCACATTTTCGTAATATGTCAAGGAGAAAATTTACAAGAGCTGTAGTAAGGATTCGAACCTATGCGCGGGGTGTAATGGCTTCACTTGAAGCCTCGGGATTACCCGAGAGCGCAGTAGCACCCCAGGTTACAATACTTTTTACCATGTCGTGACGTTGTCGTCCAGAACATGCATCTGGGAATACCCAGAACATAGGTTCGAATCCTCATTACGGCACCTGTGGATTTCTCACAAATTATAGAAAATAAATTATATTCTAAACAATAAAAATCGTTACCAACAAACACACGTGAATATTTTTAGGAATCATTTAAATTAAACTTAAATCCCTAATACACTGTAAACACGTCAGTGACGACAAACATTGGGAGTTACGATTCCAATATCAAATGATTTTCCTACCATATAAAGATGAGAGATACGATGGTTATCATATGATAACATGATGTTATCATATGATAACATGATGTTATCATATGATAACATATATGATAACATGATGTTATCATATGATAACATGATGTTATCATATGATAACATGATGTTATCATATGATAACATATATGATAACATGATGTTATCATATGATAACATATATGATAACATGATGTTATCATATGATAACATATATGATAACATTGTACAGACAACACCCCCGGGACACTTTTCCTGGTGGCGGTTTATCGAGCCGGTGGCTGAGCGGACAGAACACTGGACGCGTGATCCTGTGGTCCCGGGTTCGATCCCAGGCGCCGGCGAGAAACAATGGGCAGAGTTTCTTTCACCATGATGCTCCTGTTACCTAGCAGTAAATAGGTACCTGGGAGTTAGTCAGCTGTCACGAGCTGCTTCCTGGGGGGTGGAGGCCTGGCCGAGGACCGGGCCGCGGGGATACTAAGCCCCGAAATCATCTCAAGATAACCTTCCTGCGTCCAGTTAGCTTTTTTACAAGTTAACTCCTTATTCACTGATGCATTACCGCTGCGCCACACTTTTATAACACGTGCAGACGAACCATTTAGGCACGTTAACGACATGACGCAGTGGGAGGATGCGCGCGCACCTTGCGATCGACATGACGCAGTGGGAGGATGCGCGCGCACCTTGCGATCAGTCACGTTAAGCAGCCCTGGGGGTGGGCCAGCAACTGGAGGGGAGGTCGGGGCTGCCCGCCCCAGTACAGAGGCGTATGGGGGTCTGTAGCACAGTGGTCTACATCCTCGGGGTTTAAATTCCGAGACAGGTCTGACACGCTTCGGGGGTACGTTTTCTTTCCCCTGATACCTCTGTTCACCCAGTGGGATAATAAAGGAGGTAGCCAGGAGTTAGACAACATGGTTAACTACCACTGATAGTTAACCATGATAACACCACCACACACCACTACCACTGGTAGCTGACCATGATAACACCACCACACACCACTACCCCTGATAGCTGACCAAGATAACACCACCACTACCACTGATAGCTGACCATGATAGCACCACCACACACCACTACCCCTGATAGCTGACCATGATAACACCACCACTACCACTGATAGCTGACCATGATAGCACCACCACTACCACTGATAGCTGACCATGATAACACCACCACTACCACTGATAGCTGACCATGATAACACCACCACTACCACTGATAGCTGACCATGATAGCACCACCACACACCACTACCACTGATAGCTGACAAGATAACACCACCACTACCACTGATAGCTGACCAAGATAACACCACCACACACCACTACCCCTGATAGCTGACCAAGATAACACCACCACACACCACTACCCCTGATAGCTGACCATGATAGCACCACCACACACCACTACCCCTGATAGCTGACCAAGATAACACCACCAGACACAACTACCACTGATAGTTAACCATGATAACACCACCAGACTGCCGCCGATCAGCCTCGCACTTTCCAATTCTTTCAATTAGATGCCCAATAAGAAAATTAATTATCAAATCAGCAGGCTGGAGCGCCGTTCCCGGAGGCATTACAGAGCCAGTCTGGGAGCGGGTTATCACTTCTGGGGCTTCAAGTTCTCATTATATTGACCAAATTGACCAAATTAATTCATAACATTATTCGACCTCAATCCTTGTTTGAGATTGCCATCGTCACCAAGTTCCTCTGGCACTACAGTACCATGTATGTAGGGTGTGTTCTGTTGAGTGCTTCAGTATGTAGGGTGTGTTCTGTTGAGTGCTTCAGTATGTAGGGTGTGTTCTGTTGAGTGCTTCAGTATGTAGGGTGTGTTCTGTTGAGTGCTTCAGTATGTAGGGTGTGTTCTGTTGAGTGCTTCAGTATGTTGAGCGTGTTCTGTTGAGTGCTTCAGTATGTTGAGCGTGTTCTGTTGAGTGCTTCAGTATGTAGGGTGTGTTCTGTTGAGTGCTTCAGTATGTAGGGTGTGTTCTGTTGAGTGCTTCAGTATGTAGGGTGTGTTCTGTTGAGTGCTTCAGTATGTAGGGTGTGTTCTGTTGAGTGCTTCAGTATGTTGAGCGTGTTCTGTTGAGTGCTTCAGTATGTTGAGCGTGTTCTGTTGAGTGCTTCAGTATGTAGGGTGTGTTCTGTTGAGTGCTTCAGTATGTAGGGTGTGTTCTGTTGAGTGCTTCAGTATGTTGAGCGTGTTCTGTTGAGTGCTTCAGTATGTTGAGCGTGTTCTGTTGAGTGCTTCAGTATGTAGGGTGTGTTCTGTTGAGTGCTTCAGTATGTAGGGTGTGTTCTGTTGAGTGCTTCAGTATGTAGGGTGTGTTCTGTTGAGTGCTTCAGTATGTAGGGTGTGTTCTGTTGAGTGCTTCAGTATGTAGAGTGTGTTCTGTTGAGTGCTTCAGTATGTAGGGTGTGTTCTGTTGAGTGCTTCAGTATGTAGGGTGTGTTCTGTTGAGTGCTTCAGTATGTAGGGTGTGTTCTGTTGAGTGCTTCAGTATGTAGGGTGTGTTCTGTTGAGTGCTTCAGTATGTAGGGTGTGTTCTGTTGAGTGCTTCAGTATGTAGGGTGTGTTCTGTTGAGTGCTTCAGTATGTTGAGCGTGTT